TGGTCTAAAATTATGAGCTGAATTAATCAGAGAAGAGATCAGCTTCCTATTAGTTCAAGATTCCAGGATGTTGAGGTAAGTAAAAAGTGTGTATATGTAACAATCCGTGAGTCTAAGTAATGTTATTGTAAATGGGTTACTGCTGCATCATTAGCACTTATACAAATTTAGTAGAAGTGCTTCATATGTGGAGTATTTGACATCTCAATCTTCTGTCAAATGTTTTCTGGATGTCCAAAAACCGTGTGGATGTCTGCCTTAGCTGGCAGACTCCTTCACCTTTGGAACAAATAGTAGATCTGTAAGAGTCAAATATTAGTATCAATCTGCATAGATAATTAATTTTTAGAGGACTGAAGATCCCTCCAAAATATTAACTTTTTTTTATGAAATAAACATGGCGCCCAAAATAACTTTAGACTACCACAGTGAACTTATTCTAAAGCTGGATGATCTTAGTTACCCCTTTCATTAAAAATGTAGTAGACATATTATAAAACATTCTGTGCCACAAAGCAGCTGAACAGTAGGAAGACGAAAACCGAAGCACCTATTTGGAATCAAACTGGCTTTAAAATGGTACAGCTGGATTTTTATTATATATATATATATATATATATATTTTTTTTTTTTTTTTTTTTACCTCCTGATGATTCCTTCACAGGGCTCACTCACATAATATCACGGTTCCAGCAGGAATGCCATTTCAGTCAAATTGCTTCGGTTATGAATAAAATAAGACTCGACTTCTAAGGAAGAAATGTAGCCTAGATAGAGAATCTAGAACCTACTGTATGTGTTTGTGTATAATTATAAATGAGAGAAATAGACACTTATGTGTTTTTTGAGCATATCTGAGCTCCACTAACTGAATCCATCACATTTTATTTTAAATTAAATCCATAATCCTAAACTTACAAGGCTTTGACTAATTAATAGTTACTTGTGTTATCTAACCACATCATGTCTGAAAAACCCCTGTGATTGCATTTACTCATTAATATTATTATTATTTGAAGACGTTATGGCCAATATTCTGCAATGCTACTGCAGGTTTGTTGGTTGCTGTCCAACTGGCATCACTTGAACCTGCTGCCAATCCAACTCAAAATGTCAGATGCAGATGGGTTTGGTGCAAACTTTCAGCAGTTACAAGACAGATGCATATTAGGTGATTTTAACAACAACAACAACAACAACAAAAATGGTTTTGCAACAGTTTTTCACTAAAAACAAAAAAGTTTCCGACCGCTAACAGAATTTTCTTAAGTTACAAAAGACTAATTTGAACATCCATAAGTCATACTCGCATTTAGACACAAACAAGTGGACACACACAGAGAGACGCATGCAGACAGGATATAAAATGTGGATACTAGCCACTCACACAGACAGCACCTGTCAGCTGGTGTTGTGGGACAGCCAAGGGCTTGTTTGCTTATTTCTTCCCCTCTCTCTCTTTCTCCCTTTAGCACAGTGTGTTTGTGTGTCTCGATTCGAGGTCTCCATTTCTTTCCCACTCAGTCCCCCTCACCTCTCCACCTGCTGTTCTTTCCTTCAGCACATTCCAACTCTCTGCCTGTCTCTCTTCATACCCGACCATCATACCTCCATCCATTAGATCTCTCCTCTCCTTCTCTGCACCTGTGACTGAAAAACAGACTCTCTCAGTCTCTCTCTGCCTCCCTGCTCATTACATCCCCGAGGCAGCCACTCCATCATCGAGAAAGGCAAGAGATAAGCTACAAGAGTACACCTGTGCCCTGCATGAACGCCGTACCCAGTCTCAGTGACTCGGCCAATTCAAAGCCAAATAATGGGATCGGCAAAGCTCAGTCTTCAGACGAATCGACGTGACAGCTTTATCTCTTGATACCTGTTCCGAATCACGATATGGGCCTCATTAGCAAAAGAGGAAAGCAATGATCAGTAAGAAAATAGGAAAACATTGATGCTGCAACAATATGATTGTGAGGGATTAAGTATACAAAGCTCATTTAGAAACAGAACAGGTGGAAGTTGGATAAAAAAAAAAAATGTTTGTCTTCTATCAGCAAAGAGCTGCTAAATGTGAATTGAAGCAGGGAAGAAAAGAACAAAATAAACACTTTACAAAAACTCAATACATACTCAAGTTTGCATTACTAATCACACAAGTAGCAAGTCAGTAGATGAGTTGGAAGAGTAAACCTTCCCTATGCAGGACAAGACATTTCCCACAACAAAATACTTAAGAAAAGAGTTGGTATTGCTCAGCACCACTGTCTTCAAAACCCACATTAATATTTTATGAAAACTATCCAACGCTTTAAAATTGTATATTTTGTTAAATTTTAAATCTTAACAGTAAGTTTGTCTGTCCTCATTTCACCAAAGTAAACCAATTAGTTTTTCACCCACAGTTCTCGACTTCCACATGAAAAGTACAGATACTTTAACCTGCATGTTCACCTTTGATAGCGGCATAAAACTAATTGCATTATTTAAATGCACTTATCAAGTGGATGAAAGTAGCCATGACAGAATTAGAGAAAAATCATAAGCCCCTACTGGTCACAGTCATTGACAACAGTACAGCAAAGAAAAGCAACCTCCAGAGAAATCAATAATCAGGGACAAAGTGAGAGTGAGTAGATAAGGAACCTCTCCATCATCCACAGATCAATGTTTTGAGTTTATTACTGATGCACAAGCAGAGCAAGCTACACAGTCATAGTTATGAAGCTGGCAAAACTACATTCAAACTAGGAAACCTAATGATATGCAAGCATGTTTCTGATTTTGATTTAAGATATGTGACGGAAACAGTGGGAGCATTTCATGGGCAGTTGTGCTCAAAAAAAGCTTTGAATTTGTGCGTTAGAAGGCAGTGGCGAGATGGCATCCCTGTTAGGACCCCTCTGAGTCTATGTGCTGTATTTAATCTATGATTTAATTTTTTTATTTTATCTGGTGCGAGGAGGAAGAAAGAAAGGGCTTGACAAGTGCAGCCATAATGCAAAATCCACCACTGGGTGGGAATACGAAACATTCTAATGAACCAGTCCGTCACAATAAAAACTGTAAAAAGAAAACATATTAAAATAACCACAAATGTCAGGACAATTTGGAAAGCAATTATTGTCATGTAAAGTGTCCATAAAACATATTGTAAAGTATGCGTTAAATCAATTATGAACAAAATTAGCCTTTCACGCCCTCAAAATATTTATGACATCTTCCCTAGCAATAAAATCTTTTTTTACATTCCTCTTGGTCCAACTTTAATTCCTCAGTATTAGGAAACATGACCAACACAGAATGAATGGCTTCATTCACTTCCTCCACTGCAATTGCCAAACTGCATTCATAGTCGACTACAAACATAAAATAGTCCAGAAAATCAGCGTCAATCGTTCAAAACCCCTCAGTTTGTTCACTTTTTGGCCAGGTTGAAATTCAACCAGGGAACTAATTCTCAATGGGAGAAATCCCAAACGAAGCACTGACGGGAGATGAGAATTGAACTGAATTGTATAGAAAACTACCCAAGACCTCAATGATGGGAATAATTAAAGACACAGTCAAAAATCCAGCAACCTAATGTGAGAATTTTGGAAAAGGATGCCCAAATTATTTAATCCAAGTCATATGCTTGAAAAGACAATTCAACCAAATTTTATGGAAATGCATACATTTCTGAATTTAAAGTTAAAAATTATCATTTTATTATTCATAACTATCCTAAAATAGGAGTTTAATTTAATTTGTTTAATGTTAAACAGAAAAAAAACCTGTATGTTAACAGACTTTATACTCTATATAAACTCATGCTTGAATAAGGTGAATTCACCATGTGCTCCTCTGAATTCAATGCATAGTTTTATGATTTGTTGAAAACATTCATAAGTTATAGAAACCATTCTAATGCAATAAATCTACAGCAAACTTTATACTCCATGCTAATACACTTGAGATACTTGTGGCTTGACTCTAATTTGCATTGAACATTTTAAGTAATTCACCTATAAGTTGCGTGCAAGGAAAAGAAAGCACCGAAGAGAAATGTTAAAGCTCCGGTGTTTGCTTGTGCTGCTATTTATGTTTCTGCAGAGGGGCTTTAGGTCTGACTTCATGAATCTCATCTAATAGCTCCACTGTGAGTCTATCAGGTTGAAATACAACCTGGTAAAACCATTTAATGTTGTAGCCTGACCTAGAAAAAAAAAAATGACTCCATTTCTTATTTTTCTCCTAAATGGAATAACTGAGATGTGTTTTTTTCTTTCTTTTTTTTAGACATAATATACATCTTTTTAATCTTTAGTTTGGAAGTTAATCATCTTTTATCAGGTTTTATCAGTTTATTTATTACTTCAATCAATGATGTGGACATCCTGCCCTATTAACAGTGCAGGTCTTGCGGTGTAGATCTAACTAACTGTTTCAGGCCGTTGTCCGAATGAAAGGTGAATCTCTGCTCCTGTCCCAATGTTTCTGAAGTCTTCATAGGATTTATTTTTTTCTCCCTCATCCATTTACCCATCAGTGATGGCTACATTCCCTGTCCCTGCTTAAAAAAAACAAAAAAGGAAAAGAAAATAGGATCCCCATTGCATAATGGTGCTACAACCTTGTTATAGAGTGTAAATTGTGTGTTCAGCATGATACGAAGTCTTGGCTTTCCTCCCCACACAGTATATGACACAGTGTGTGGAATATTTCAAGCACATTTTGGAGTACAGCTCCAAAAACCTGAGTATCTGTGAAAAGTTTCATCTCTTCTCCCACTCAGTTTAGAAAGTGAAACTCATGATTCGTTATACAGAGAAATATGTGGAATATTTTAAGCCCTTTCTTGCACTTTTGGTGATTATGACTTACAGATAACGAGAACCCAAAATTCAATTTCACTGAATTCAGTGGAGGGAACAAGTGTGATAGGCAAAAGATGCACCAGCAGCAAGGATAACCACAACCCTGTGAGGATTGTCAAGCAAAATACATCGACATGCTTCATTTAAACCTTTGTCGTATGTTGTGCCACAAACCAAATTAATCTGCAGAAGCAATCGGAGCACAGAAGCACCACAAGAAATTCAGCAGAGATGGAATGGAAGTCGCTACTCACCGAGGCCTGGTGGATTCTCCGGACACGGTGGCAGCGGTTTGGGAGAAGGTGTCTGATTGTTCTCAGGCTGCAAGCTCGGGACCAGCTGCTCGGCAGCGGCCAGGTAGGTGGCTGATGTCGCATTTGGTCTCGAAAGGTTGTAGTAGTAATAATGATGTCCGCTGCCCGTTCCGCTCCCGTTATTCCTGGACCCGTTTCTGCCGTTGTTGAAGCGGCTGAAAAGGTCGAACCGCTGCGAATAGACGTCGAAGTACAGGATCATCATGATGAGGAAGTGGAGCAGGCAGAGCAGCAGGACACCTTTGCAGATGCGCTCCAGAGTCCGGCCCAACATCAGCCGGGTCATGGCAGACAGAAGTGGCCGTCCTGAGACGACCAGCCACGGCAACGCTGGCGTGGCGCGGCTAGATGAGTGCCCTCATAATTTGTTGTTTCTGCAGGTGATATCAGCTGCTGCTAAATCACTTATGAGCTCATGTGGATTGTTGATACTCAGTTCACTGACTTCAGCATAAACTTTGGGTCTGTCATTTTCACCAACATATTTTGCAGAAGACGTTCTGATGGTAAAAGATTCTTCTCTGAAAATCCACTTATCCTGACATGTGGATGTGCCAAGTGGCTGCAGAAGCATTGAGGTTCTCCATTTTTAACACAGTTCAAGACGTCAAAGATATGTTTCCTATGTTGATGATTTCCAAATGACTGGTGAATGGATTGATGGCACAAATGTTCATCGGTGAAGAGTATCTGCTGGTATGTCCATTGGGAAGGCTTTTTCTCTCATGGCACCAAGAAGGGAGTCACAAACCTGAAGAGGGAAAGAAAGAAACGGTGAGGAAACCATGTCAATGGTCAAAAAAGTCCTCTAAAACGTTTTGTCTGGTTTTACTTTTGAATATTTCAGATCAAACACATTTTAATATCAGAGCAAAGCAACTTGAGGGAATACAAACTGTAGTTTTCAAATTTCTTTTTTTATTTTTTATTATTATTAAGGAAGGAAAGCAGGTCAAAAGTTTCATATCTGAAAATGTGTGATAAACCAGATTTTTCATGTAATTAATTTCATTAACCAAACCCAGAGCTGATTTCTGTCTGACCTGTAGAATCAAGAATCTACTTACAGTGAAAGATTTCTATAGCAACACAACACACACCAATTTAAATAAATGTAAGAAAAAATGAGAAGCAAAGTCAGTGATAAATGTCAGCCTGGAAACAAGCAATTCCTTAGAAATTAGAACTCCAGTAAACCACAAAGAGAGTCATTATCCACAAATTAAGAAAACACGAAACAGTGGTGAACCTTCCCAGGAGTAGACAGCCTGCCAAAATTATTCTAACAGAGAAAAAGCTTCTCATCCAGGAGGTCACAAAAGAACCCAGAACAATATCTAAAGCACTGCAGGCCTTGGATTCACATAAAAATGAGACTGAACAAAAATTACATCAATTGCAGAGTTCCCAGGAGAATACCACTGCTGACTAAAAACAAAACATTTGCCAAAAACAAAACATCCAGATTATGCATCCCCAAGACTTAGGAAATATACTCTGCTCAATGGCGTCAGGAAATTGAGACTGTATGGAAGACAGTTGCTTCAGGCACAAAGTCAACACTGCATTTAAGAAAAAGAACATCATACTGACTTTCTAACATGCTTGGAAAGTCAGTATGATGACTTTATCCCCTTGGTCTGCTTTACCTCTTTGGGATCTCAACAATTTGCCTTCATTGATGGAATTACAAATTCTTTTTACTCGTAAAATCTCATGACGGAGAATGTCTAGTCAGCACTTAATGACCTTAAGCTCAAGAGCAATTAGGTTACACAGGGCAATGATACAGCAACTGAAATAAAGCAAAATTAAGTTTTTCTCTGGAGTGGCATGTCAATGTCTGAACTTAAATCTGATTGAGATACTGTGCCATGACCTTGAACAGCCTGTTCATGCTGGAATATTGTCCGATATGTCTGAATTAAATTCATTCTTCAAAGAAAAGTCATATCCAGACTCCATCTATCCGTCGGCTATGTCCACTTATCCTTGCAGGACCGCAGGAGGACTGGTGTCCATCCCCAGTGGTCATTGAGTGATCAGTGAGGTACAGCCTGGACAGATCGCCAGTCCATTGCAGGGCAACATAGAGAGACAAAGGACAAACAACCACATATGAGGACAATTTAGAGACACTAATTAACTTAACTTATGTGTTTGGACCGTGGCAGGAAGCCGGAGAGCACAGAGAGAACATGCAAAAAGACCCCAAGTCGGGACTCAAACCCAGGGTCTTTTTTTTTTTCTGCAAGGAAGCAGCAGCAGCACAACCAACTGCTTGATGGCAGCTGTTACCATCAGAAGTGGCGGAAGCAGTCATTAGGTTTGTTTTGCGTAGATTTTTGCCCCATTTTCTAATTTCTCAGCTCATCTTTAATTAACATTTTATTTGATAATCTTAAAAATGTGCCAAAGAAAGCAGAAAGAAACAATCTGTAAAGGGCAAATGCTTTAAATACAAAGCACTGTAATTTAAATGTCAATATTTATTTTCCTGTTACCATTTAAATAGCCATACTCTTGTGCTTCCTTAAGCCAGTGCAGGTGAAACATTATTAATTTTAGAGGTGTTTTCTGACTCAGTACGGAGACTCCTTGTATTATTAGCAGCATGAAATCGAACGAAATATAATCAATCTTACACTGGCACTTTCGGTATTCAGTGACCTTGTTCGTGTTGGCAATGTTTGGTTGAATAGCGATGTAATAAATGTAGATTTTTTTATCCCAGCAGAAGAACGAGTACACACGTGTATTTCAAGGAATAAAAAGTGGGGGGAAAAAAATGCACAATCGATAACAAAAGCATTAACAGACACAAACGAACCGAGAGCCTTGACTGGGGCAGTTCAGCCAAATTGACATGCCAAGTCAATTTTCCAGTCAAGTGGTTTAAAAAGCATTTATGATAAAATGAGACTGCAAGTGGGAATACACAAAGCAATGAACATATGAGGAAAGGAGAGGAGGAGGGCACTCTTAGTGCATTCCCAGGAGCAAATTACCGAAGGGTTATAGCTTTTCCAATAAATGAGAGGAAAAGACGAGGAAGATAAAAACCCAGAATGACATCAGATTTCCTGATGAAAACCACAAGAACTTCTATAAGCTCACAATTTTTTTATGCTAATAGTAGTACTGTGAAAAGGAATGAAATCTAAAGGATATGTCAGCTCTGATTTTCTGCACAGCTGAACATTACAGACAACCTCTTGAAAAGTATTGAACTCAGATAATACAATAAGCTTTCTATGCAGAGTTTTTGTTTTGTATAAACATTCTAATTAAATCAGTGTAATCTAAAATTAAATCTAAATAAATGCTGTCATGGCAAAGTGCATAATCACTAATTGTATTAATTCCAATGTCAACACGTAACTTTCACATTAGACTTTAATACATTAAATGATAGAATGTCAAGTATAATCTAATGCAAAAACTTACAGCAGCCAATATTTCTTTTCTTTTTTTACTTGTGAAAATTATAATTTATAAAACATACAGTGCTATGAAAGCGTGCATACCACTTGAATCCCCTTGGTTTACCCACCAATAGCTCTGGCTTTAATAAGGTCGTGGACCCACCTCACGTTCTGAGCGATTTCTAGCAAGTTCCCTCCAGGATTGTTCTGCGTTTAGCTCCACCTATCATCTCAGTTCTCGCGACGCTATCTTACTGAAAACATCCTCCTTCATGATACTTCAATTTCCATATTTTGCTGCTGGGATGGCACGTTCAGGGTGATGTGCAATGTTAGCTGTCTGCCTCACACTGTCTTCTGCATCTACCCAGTGCATCTTAGTTGTGTTTCCTACAGGGCTTGTAGCAAACTGTAAATAGTTGTGTTTGGCTTGAGATGTTCAGAGGCAAGCATGCTTTAAACTTATACATAACTATATCCATGACCTGTCTGGTGTGCTCCTTGGTCTTCATGATGCTCTTTGCTCACAGTTGTTCACTTACAAACCTCTGAAGCCTCCACCGAGCAGCTTTTAATAATTAGATTAAATTACACACAGCTGAAGTCTGTAGTTGACTTCTGTAGGCAATTGACTGCACTTTATTTAGGGAAATCAGAGCATAGCTAACAGTTTAAATTAATATACAACCAAAGTGCACAAAATTTTGTGGCCAAAATGTAAAAATGTTACAGGAATTTGAGTCCTTTAGCAAAATCCTCAATTGGTATCTACCGAAGTTTAGTGGAGTTTAATTTAACAAACTGTGCAGAATCTTAATCAATCCATGTCCTTGTTCACACCTTGTTTTCACCCAAATTTGCATTGTTTTTAAATGATTATTTCACATTTTCGGCTGATTTTGTGGTGTAGTATTACACCAAGAAATGCGTCTTTAAGTACTTGCACAGAACTTTTTATATTTTCAGTTCTTACCTGTACATTTGTAACTTAAGGTATCTTTTGTTTTATTACAACCTTGTGTCAATCTTGTGACCATCTCCATAAATTTCTGCAGATTTCCAACAGAACAGGGAAATATTTGTGCATTTGCAAATTACACACATTTATGATTCCTGACACTTTACATATATCACTGATGCATAAAATATTTCCTGGCCTAACACCGATCCCTGTAGGACTCTAAAACGGTTTTCTAAGAAGTCTCATCTGTTTTCTTCCATTTACCTGTAGACAGTACAATGACTGACCCTCAGGTCTGTATGTGAATAAAGCATGCATTATAGTGTGAATTAAAATAACATGACTTAACATATCAATCACACCGCAATGCTTGTGCATGGTTTTTGAGCCATGATAGCTGTTTTAGTATCCTAACCAACTAGGACATTGCTTTGATAGGTAATCAGTCTGAAAGGAAATAATATTTTGACCTTTTTTGTCTTTCAACAAGAAAGATCCACACAAAGAGAGTTTCCTCTACTGTGCAGGTATTGAATTGCAAACCTCAGCAGGGAAACCAGAAAAAAAATAAATAAAAAATCCACAGCCAGGATTGAGAACCTGTTTTGCTCAGTTGCACAGGACGTCTCAAAGATCAGTGAAGACAGAATACAGATCAGCACTTTTCCTCTTATATGGGAACAAAAAGAAACCCCAAAGGCTCCACATCCATTTTCCTCACAGCATCTTCGTTATGTAGTGTAACACTGAAGTCTTCTCAATTCTACAAGTGAGTGTGAGTATTGTTTTGTTTGTTTTGTTTTACAAAGGTCATCTGACTCTTTTAGATTGTTTTTAAGAGTTCCTGTCTCTACCACTCAGGTCTTCAGTAGCGTTCTCTATGGAAATATCAAGCACACCAGAGCTGAGTGCTCAGATTTACCTTAAGACAGTAAAGTAAAATGTAAACAAAACCAAAAATGAATCTTTAAAACTTAAAGTCTAGGAATGGTAGAGACAGATAGAGACTTTGCTCCAGTCACAGAGAGAAATAGACCCTTTATGTAAGCAGTTTATTCAAGGATGCCTTTAAATCCCTTTTTAACAACAGCAATAAATTTCATAACAGAAGCCCATTAAATCATGACTGCCAAGGAGTCCACTGAGAAATACTACAATAATAACTGCCAGTTTCTGTCTACACTAGGTTTCAGTGCTGCCTCTAAAGACCGAACAGTACAGAGGTTATGTCATCACTTTCATCATCGCCGTCACCATAGAGGCAATGGGTTTTATAAGTCATGTGGAATAAAAACAGAAATATGATGCAAATAATAGCACATTTAATTAGGTTAAAAAAAAAAGTTACTCGAAATAAAAAGCTAA